GTTGATATGCCAGTGGACGCCTGAGACACTACTGAGTAATTGTCAGCTCCCTGGCCACTAATACACTTGTGAATAAAGACAGAAGTCAGCTGAGCATAGTAGAATATAAACACAGGGAAGAGAATCAAACAATTGCTCCCTATATCTGACTGCTCAGATTGATGCCAGCCATGACTGCTGTTCTGAACTAGTTGACCTCCCAGCCCATTACGGGTCTATACAGAAAAGTCTGTAATTCATTCAACAATCTTTATCACTGTCCAGGCTTTCTATGTTATCTTGCCCAGAGTGTTCTGCTATAACTTTCTTGACAAACTGAAGAATTGTTAGAGACTAAAGGTTACTTTTTAATCACTTATACCAGTACCCTTCCTCAAAACCTCTGGTAAGACAGCAGGTTTGCTGAGGAGGTAAGGAGTGCCTATAGGGACAGCTACATCTATGCAATAAAACCTGGAACCAGAGATATCAAGGACCAGCCTATCAGCCCGCTGTACACAGCCACTGGGGCATTTCCACAGAGTGAGCATCTAGTTCCAAGCCAGAAAGCTGCTTGAGACATCTGGCCTGTGTACACCTCCATAATGATAAGAATGGTAAGTTGCTCAATGGAGAGACATGGTTCAGACAATATATTGGGATTATCAGCATTAAAGAGCTTTAACAGAGCAGTGGCTGCTCTTCTAGAACACCCAGGTTTGAGTCCCAGTACCCACATGGTAGGCAGCTCACAACTACCTAGAACTCCAGGGATTTATATAGCACCCTCTTCTGGCCTCCGTGGGTACTGCCTGCACACAGTGCACAGACATCCATGCACAGGTATACAAGCAAGGAAAACATCTACACACATAAAATGAAAATAAAGGTTGATAGTAAAGAGAATGAAGCTTTTAACATTATTTTCATTTTCCCATATTTATTAGTAATATGACAATGGATATCTTTGTTGTTTCATTTTGATATTAAATGTCCCCTAAAGGCCCATATGCTAAAGGACTTGCATGCCAGCCTGCAATACTATTGGGAGGTGCCCCAAGAGCTGGAGCCTAGGAGCTAGTGGTTAAGAGTGTGGGCTGTTCTTCCAGAGGTTCCTAGTTCAATTCCCAGCATCCATATGGTGGCTCACAACCATCTATAACAGTAGTATCATAGCATCTGATGCCCTCTTCTGGTATGCAGGCATACATAAAATACACAAATATGTCTAAAAAAAAAAAAAGAATTGGGGCCAACTACAAGGAAGGTAGGCCATTGGGGGTGTGTGTCCTTAAAAGGGATTTTTGGAGGACCCCTATCCCTTTTTATTTTTACTTCCCAACTACCATTAGAACAACTTCTGTCATGGCATACTTCTGCCACAATGCTCTGACTCATCCCAGGCTCCAAAATAATGGAACCAATTGCCATGGGCTAAAAACCTCTAAAACTGTGAGCCCAACACATTTTCTAAATTTATGATTTTCTAAAGCTATTTTGTCATAGTAATGGGAAGCTAACAAATTTGTATGTATATAGATCTTTAAAATTCTTCTTAAGAATTTGAACTGTAATTGCCTGTTAGTTCATTCTGACCCAGAGCTCTGGTCAAGAACCCACATTGTTTTCTCTTGGGCCAGATTTTAAGGCCTGAAAAAAATATAATACTTTTGATAATGGCACACAAATGCTCAGGCAGCTGTCTAGTTTCACTTTAAAGAGATGCCTGCACTACAAATGAAAAGCTCTTAATATCTGTCCATTTCCAAGCAATGGCTGGCCTCCTGGAGACCAGTCTTGAGGGGGAAGAAATGTGTTTCTGAATTCACTACTTCATACAAAAAAATTCCTTCCTTATGTTTGGGAACTAATATTTTAAAAAGAATACATGGCGTTTTGGTATTGAGTACTACTAAGTGTTAGGCAGCCAGCAAGCCAGGAACTCCATGCCACAATTTCCCAACTAGTTGGATAGCTCATGTCCCTGGCAATGTTGTCTTGGCTGAAGAAGCCGTGGAAGGGTTTCTCTGTCCCCAGGGAAGGGAAAATTACATTTGGCTTCTTCATCTCTCTTCCCTGCTGTGATGACATTCAGTGATGACACAATGCTTTCAGAAACTTTAGAAGGCATGACTTTGAGTATTTCCCATGGCTCTGTAGTTTCCTGGCTGGTAAATACTGGAATAGGAACCTGGAACTACTAGCCCAAAGTTCCTGCAGATTCTATCAGTGGCATTGGCTAGGGCACCACAGCTTTAACTGCCCTACTGCAGATGCTGGCTGTAGGTGTCTGGGTTTCTGAAAGACTGTGTTGTTCTCAGGTTGACACATGGAAGAAATATGCTGGCCCTCCAACATACTGCCCAGATACCGCTGCCCTAGGAGAGTGGGTGACTCTACTCATTCTGGCAGCCAGAATGAACTCTGTGCTGCTAAAGAAGAGTGAGCTGGTGCAGTAAGTAGAATGGTGTTCCTAGGAAGAATAGTGGTCTACACGCCAGCAACAACACATTTAGAGTTCACTTGGAGCCAGCGCTGTTCTGGGCATTTCCATGTAGGAGTTCCTTCAATGTTCATTGTAACATGACAAAGAGATGAAAACAAGTGTTTCTTTATAATTAAGGTGACTGAAGCCATATGACTTCCTTAAGTTGACATGGCTAGGTAATGACAGAACAAGGTTTCCAATCAAACAGTATGGTTGCAGCACCTGAGCTACTAGCCCCTTGCCACTTGCCTACATGTAATGATCTGCCTATCAGATGCAAAGTGGTCCTTGTCTACCAATTGAAAAGCTTCAGTAGTCACTGGAAACAAACAACACAATGAATTGTTAATGCTTTTAAGCATCGGTAAGACAGAAAAAGAAAATTACCACAAGCCCAGGAAACGGAGTAACTGTCACCTCCCCAAAGTATCTGATAGCTTCACACAATCTCAGACCCTGGGAGTCCAACAACATTGACAATGTATATGACACGAAGAGCCCAAGGATGGTTCTTTACCATTCACAAGGCACTTAGCATTTCTCTCTGAAAATAGGGATCAAGATTATTAGAGAAGTTAAGTATGGAACCTTTTAGGTGCGTGCTGCAAATTACACACTGTAACTACAACATGCTATCAGAGTAAGAGCTGCCTTTGCTACAGAGGACGGGGCAATCTGTATTTTGAAATCCTTAGATGAAAAGAAATAAATAGTGAAAAGAAGTAACCAGGGGGCTTCATGCACTAATAGATTATATTTCTATACTCAAGGGTAATGCAAAAATCAGACCATTTTGACAGTGTTCAGAATTATTTTTTGAGGTCACTCTCTAGGCATAAAAATGTTCATAATGATTTTAAGCATTAGCACCTGTTGTTTTCCCAGACCTACCTATGCTTGGACCTTATTTGCAACAGAGAAAGTACAGGAACACATTTCTTACATATTCAGAAAGAAAGCTGCCACACTTTAAATATAGTTGAGACTTAAAACACATGCTTAACATTTTCATGACGGCAGTACACTTTTTATTTTTCTTCCAGTCCTCTAGGTATTCTGCCCCAATAAACAATCTGAATGACTTGAGATAGCAGCAAAAGCTCCCTGTTAAACATTTCCCCAAGTGTAAGTTATTGGGAGGCTGTTTATATAATTCATGAAAATCTTCAGTCTTGTGTCCTTTTAATCTTGGTGAATCCATCGTACTGACAGAACCCTGCTTGGAGTTTATGCTTGAAGATTGGATTTATTCCTTCAGTTTATCAGGAGGGAAAGGGGAATGGAGCTGTACTTCCAGACATATGTAACTTGGCCTCTGCACATATTGGCTGAGGTTGAACACTTCTGTCCTCTTCTCGTTTGAATTTGTGAAGGCTCTTGCTAACCAGAGCAATCCTACCTACCTATGTGCTTCTGGTGGCCTTTTGATAACATTAAGCCAGCCACAGAAGCTCTAATTAATTCCTGATAGTTTGTTTTTTAGTATAGCTTGACTTGCCTTTCCACCTCACATGAACTGGAAAACACAATTCATGTCTTTCAGGAGGGCAGCATGGACAAACTATTATTATCTGAATACAGAAGTATTTTGTAATGTAATGCATCCATAGCATTTTGGGCCAAAGTTCTTGGACGTGAAAAACGACACGGTTTTCTTGTCCTCACTTCTGTCTCCTGTTTGATGGCTGTGGGCTAAGTACCTGAATGCTGCTACAGACGGGGAGGGGGCCAAAGAGGCCATCTACAATGATGGCTGGCTGGAGAGGAATAAGTCCACGGAACTTAAATCCACCTGTAGCTCTCCTACCCACAGCTGCTACCCCTGGAGGAGGACCCAAGAATCTCTGTCTCAGGGGCTGGTTTCAAAAAGCCTCCCAACTCTGCTTTGTGTTTCCAGTTTTGATTTCCCATTTAATTTTATATTAGCATCTTTAAGACAAAGGCAGGCCCTTGTTCAAAACCTTCCACCAGGGCGTATGAACTGAGGACACAATATGGACTTTCTTCAGGTGCATATGAAGCCTGTACCTCCTGGGTTTTTGCCCACTTCCAAGTGGCAATCTCCTCTTCTGGCTTACTTCAGCACAGCCACCCTGGGCTTCTGGCGTTCTTGATCCTGAGCTCCTTTGCATCTGAAGGCTCCTGTCTGAAAATTGCTCTAAGTCCGTTACACCCCGGCTTGTCCTAAGGAACAGCTCTTAGAGGAGACAGTGCCTCACCTGCCCATGAAAATGGTGATGCCTCCTCTCAGGGCCACAAAATTATTTTATTCCACCTACAAATAAACGAACAGCTTTTACAGTGCTGAGGGTGTGGGGAACATATATTGTAGTCTTGCACCTTTCTTGATCCTAAGGTGAGTGACGTTAACCTACTGTTAAGGGTGGTTTATGTTTCTTTGTGCTCCTAGCCTGGGATGTCTAGGCCACTCAGTATATCCATAGTCATTCTCTGATCTATGCTGTTACCCCGTCATCAGAGCAAACGAATATAAGACCCCCTTATCTGAACATTAGAGAAACCAGTCACTTACTTATGGTGGCTCCAGACTCAGGCCTGTTGAGGGAACTGATGATGACAAAGCCAAACCCTTCGTTTTCTTTACGGTGAATGACCACATCACTGGTCTGCAGACTGTGCGAGGCAAAGCCTTCCGGCGGCGAGGCACTGCTACTGGGAGCGGCGTGGTTGCTGTTGGCGTAAGTTGCGTAGTCACTGCGTGGAGAGCTGTGGTGGGTTGATACAGAGCCTGGACTTCTCCCATTCTCTGGGCAGGGCTCCCCTGAAACACATAGCATGGTACCCAGGAACTCAGTGATCTAGGAAAGGCCTTACTGAATTCCTCAGAAGGAGCAGGCTGAAAGAGTGATTGGCTGATCTGCCCTCTAGATGTGCGGAGTATTTGAAGGGCCATAGATCTCTAGTCGGCCAGGGCTTTACCCATTGTTAGCCTTTCCCAAAGCACAGGGACCCCCCCACCATCAGCCTCTGCCTACCCCAACTGTCCCCCAACTGCATCAGCCTCCCCCCACTCCATCTGCCCCCATTCCATCAGCCTCCCCCACCCAAGAAGCCCCCCATTAGCCTCCCTCCATCAGCCTCCTCCGACCCCCTCATCAGCTTCCCCTGAGGTTGGTACTTGCTTATTTTTTCTCTTGTTATGACTGAAAGTCCCAGAGAAAAGGACAGCTTTTATATTAACCTCTTGGTTGCATAGTAACCGACTGACGATGATAGGAAAACAGTAGACAGAATCCTAAGTCATCACGCCCATATGAGTCACTAAAGAATTTATAAAGGGCCAGGGATATGGCTAAGTGGGTGAGGTACTTGCTGTGCAGTCAGAAGGATCTAAGTTGAAACCCCATACCCATGTAAATGCAGACACTAGCGCATGTTTCTGGGGTCAGCGCTCCTGTGAGGCTGTGGGGGACAGAGACTGGCGAGTACACAGAAACTCTCTGGCCAGCTGGAGTAGACCACAGCAAAAAATAGAGATCCTGCCTCAAACAATGTGTAAGGCAAGGACAAGCCTGGGTGGTCCTCTTGGCCCTACGGGTATATGCCAAGAGATGCTGCCTCCTGCCTCGCACGCAGGTACTTGTGTACTCTGACACACAGACACACAGGTTAAAAAGAACCAACAAGGAAGCACCCATCTTCAGGACCCTCCCATGAAGTGTCTGTTTATTTCCCACACAGTAGGTCTGGGGAAGATTAGGCATAGGAATCAAGACCACATTTCACCATCTTTGGAAAATGCTACCATGCCTGCAAGTGGGGCCAGCAGACCTGGGATGGCTGCACAAAGGCAGCCAATGTCGTATCTCTGTTTAAAGACACAGTTTAGCCAGGTGGTTGTGCTGTACACTTTAATCCCAGCACTTGGGAGGCAGAGACAGGTTGATCTCTGTGAGTTTGAGGCCAGCTTGGTCTACAGAGTGAGTGCCAGCACAGCCAGAGCTACACAGAGAAACCCTGTCTCCAGAAAAAAAAAAGTCATAGTTCTATGGTGGGAAATAAACTTTTTTTAAAGTGGCCTACTTATTATTTTATGTGACAGCCATCAGCCATATCTCAATAAGGGAGTTTGAAAGAATAAACAAATCAATTGAGATTTTCATTGAAAATTAGTTTGCACCCTCTGGATCAAATCCAATATCAGGTTGACAAACTGTGAATATTGAATCTCAACAGAATGAAGTCTTGCTCATTTGCATCCCACATACAAAATACATTTTATTATTAATTAGATAAAACCAACATACTTTCAAAATGAACTACAATTATGTGGCAATAGGCTAAGAAATTGGGAGCTAAGAGAAGTTAGTTTATGGTTTTAACTATTTATTATTTTATGTGTGGGGGTGTTTTATCTGCATGAGCGTACATGCATTGTCTGCACGCTCAGCATCCATGGAGGTCAGAAGAGGGCGTTGGACCCCTGAACTGGAGTAACATACACTTGGAGCTGCCATGTGGGGGCTGGGAATTGAACTCGGGTCCTCTGGAAGAGCAGCCAGTGCTCTTAGCGACTGAGCCACCTCACTCTAGTCCCAGGAAATGAAAAGGTGGTCTGCCGTCCAGAAGGGTTTGCCATTTTAACTTAATACCTAGACTGGGATAACAGGAGCAGATTCATCCTTAGAATACTGTGGTGAGAGACAGGACTGTTCCATTTCCTTCCTTCATCAGGGTATCAGAAAATGTCTGTACAGTAGAATAATACAAGGAAATGACCACAGTTCCCGGTTTCTCGAGGGGCCTGTAGATACCGACTCTTATTTAGAACACTGGTGTGCTTCTTGTGTGGAAGGTAGAAACGATCAGCACAAGTCCCCGTGAAGCCTGTGGATGTCACAAACTGAAGTTCCAGCACTGGTAGTGTGGCATGATTGGAGGGAGCAAAACTTTGAGAGGTGGGGCCTGGCTGGGTTCTTGTGCTCACTGGGGTGAATCCTGGAAGGGGGGGGTGGGACACCAGCCTTCCCACCCCCCCCCGTCTTTGTTCTCTTTATTGTATGTGCTTCTATCACTCTGTGCTGGCACAGGCCCAAGTCAAATGGGTCTGAACCTGTGGCCCCAAAGAACCTTTTCCCAACTATAAGCTCACTCATCGAAGGCATTTGTTATAGTAACAGGAAGATGATGATCAGTCTTCAAATAAGGAAATGGTGGCGCGGGGGGGGGGGGCACTAAGGAGATGTTCCCTGATATCCAGATGTTACCCTGATATCCAGAGAAAGAATGGCATTATTTACATACATTAGAAGCAACATTTAATTGCTGCCAGCACTCGGGAGGTAAAAGCAGGCAGATCTCTGTGAGTTCTAGGCCAGCCTGGTCTGCAGAGTGAGTTCCAGGACATCCAAGGCTACAGAGAGAAATTCTGTCTCGAAACTGCCCCCCCCCACCCCACAAAAAGAATCATTGTTTCTTATCAATCCAAAGGTCTTACAGTTAATTAATTTTTCTGGGTAGTTCATTAAGGGCCCTTAAGGGAGAGGAGAGCCGAGGAGGAGCTGCACGCTTCTCTCCTCATTTTTTTTTTTCATTGCAGAAGAACTGAGGTCCAAGCTAGTACTATTATGATCTGATACACTGGAGCATTTTCTTTAAGATATAATTAATTACTCTTTAATACAAAAAGATGGCTTTCATTTGTGAGAAACATACTGAGGTCACAACAGGACAAAATGTCACTGTCAAAACCTTTCCCTGCTTTGAACCAGAATTGTTTCTGTCTGTAGAAAGTACCCTCCTTTCTGGAAAGCATCCTTCAAATTCAGGCTGTTATTGTCTTGGTGAAGCACATGTCCTTTATCAGTCCTTGTGAAAGTTGGGAATGAAGTGATTAGAGATAGTCTTGGAGAAGAAAAACAAACAATTATTATGCTGCTACATTAAATTGAAAATCTCCAGAGTTATTGGACCAAATCAGTAACTAAATGTCACAGGCAATGACAAGATAGATTTCATTTTTGGGCTGTCATATTTTAGGGGAGTTGAGAGCTGTGGTTGACAGTAAATCAGCAAAGAAAAATTATGTGTCTTGGCAGTAAGTGGCTGGGAGTGGCTAGATTTCGGGTTCTAGAGAGTGAGAGAATCATTAAGTCAATGTGAGTGTTCCTGGGGTAACAGAAAGGGTCAAATTCACCATTGGGGCACTTTCCCATTGAATTTGGACCCTTTCCAACTTCTTGAGAAAACCCCTTTATCTTCAGCAAAATGAGCATGCTTTAAGTCGGGCATTTAACTGGGAAAGACTTCCACACCTTCCTAGGGGTGCTCTGGCCTCTGACTGACACTTAGAATTTGGTGGCACTGTTGTCTTTGAGATCTTGATGTCAAATGCTTCCTATTCAACTGGCTTTCCATCTGAACAGTACTGCTGTCTTTCCAAATCTCTCTGTGGTGTGGCCATCAACAGGTTTGAACTAGAAGAACACAGCAAAAGTCAGGCGACTTAACACCATGTGAGTTAAACAATTACCAACTTCTTAGGGTCCCCGATACCTTTGGGCTCCAACGCACATGGCCACTCAAATCCAGTCACTTAAGTGTTTCCTCAGGTCAAAGACTTAAGTTTTAGGTTCGGTTCTGTTCTGTCCCCATTGGTGATACTAGAACTCATGGTGGCACTTTACTCGAAGAGCCTCTTCCTTTGGGAGAGTGGGGATGGCTGATAGTGGGGACGGCTGATGGTGCCTAAAATGGCACCTTGGACTCAAACATTTACTGTTGGTGGGGCTTGATTCTCATTGGCACATTGCTGGTCTAAACTTCTTATGTTAATTGTTAAAACTAATTGCCAGTGTTTATAAATAGGGAGAGCTGATAGGGATTATGGATTTGTGCTCTTGACAACTTCCCAATACTTCTCACAAATATCAAATTTATTCATGTGCTCACTAGGTGAAGAATCCATATATCCAACGGGAATTTTGCAATCAGAGCCTTCATTTCCTTTCTAGACTCTCATTCTAGGTAGCAAGGCTTGAAGATTATGTAAATCAGATGGACAGTGCCTGCCTCCAGACTGTAATGGGTTTATCTTGCCTTGAAGCAGAGCTAGGGCCATGGGGCATGCATATGAATAGAGCTTAACACCTGGGCTGGGTAGCCATATCTATAGACACCCTCATAGGACCTCATGGGGAAGGCAGCCCTGGGTGTGGCCCTTCCTGTGTTTGTGTAGGTACAGCTAGTTTATACTCATCCAGGTAGAAAGCTTACTGGATGGGTGACATGTTCACATGGGACTAGGGAATTCACTTAGGACGACAAAGGGTAGACTAAGACCAAGACCAAGGCTCCCTAACTTGTTTCACAGTGCTCCTAATGAACTCCCCTTCCTTAACACTGGGGCAAGAATTCTCCTCTCTTTGGATACTGGAGAAAGATGCTGATTGCATGGAGACTGACTGTAGCATGTTTTGATTAAGCCATAAACTTTCTTTTGTATCTATTCTCAATTTACAAGTTAGGGAATTCCTCAGGGACATCTTACTCTCAGACAAACAGTGTGTATCCAAAACAATGTGTCATTAGATTGAACATCTCAAAGCTGAGCTACTAAGCACATAAATATTTATACTTTCAGCATAGTAATTAAAGCCACTCTCTTAATATCCTTGGGGGGAAAAACCAACCAAATACTGAAGCTGGGGACATAGATAAGACAGCTCTCAAAACTAGTTCAAGGTGCAAGATCTGTGCTTGTGAATCCCAGTAAAAGACACTGGAGCATTGCTTTTTTGTTATGTTTTGTTTCAAGACAGGGCTTGTCTCTATACCTTTGGCCTGTCCTGGAACTAGCTTTTGTAGGCCAGGCTGGTCTCGAACTTCCAGAGATCTGGCTGCCTCTGCTCCCAGTGCTGGGATTAAAGGCGTGTGCCACTACCACCTGGCTAAATTGCTTGTAATTTAACTCAGCAATTTCCTATGTTTGATGGCTTAGCACGAAGTTGAAAACTATTTGCCTTTCTACTATTAGTGTGTACATGTTTCTTAGAACTTAATATTCAGATCAGGCTTTTGTGTTATTTTAATTCTTAACCAATGTTATCAACCTATCTGTATGCCATGGTGAATATGTTCTTTTTCTAACGCAGCAGTCTGGAAGCCAGTGCCTGCCTTCCCACACAAAGCAGTGTATCTGCATGAGCCAAGATGGAGGATGAGATCTCTATGGCCTCGCCATTCCTCAGCTCCTAGGCTCCAGAAGGCGCTGCTGTGAGATAATGCACCAACAATTTCTCTTCCTATGTCTTTCTGCTAAATTCACTTCCTGTCAGTTCTGGATGATCCTATCTTTAGCCAGGCCTGCCCCTCCCACTGCCTTGCTTACCAGAGCAGAATAACAGCAAGATTACTTAAAAAGTCCAGCCTCCCTCTCCCCCCATCACGTCTATCTGGAATTGTCCTTTATCACTTTGAAGAAAGGTAGCTATGAGGAAGTTTGTTTTCCTATGCCTTGTAGATTTCTTCTACCCTGGTTTTTAGGCATTTATTTTACCTTCAGAGCATCCTGTCTTGAATTCAATAATTTTTGGTATCAATAACTTTTTCAAGGAGTTTGGGCTGAGTGAATATGGAATCTCTTGTTGTATGAGCAAACTGTGGCAGAATGTTATCAGGAATTAAATGCACTCCAAATGCACTCAGAAGCCTAGCAGAGAGAAGCTGGTAAGAACTGCAGCAAAGAGAGCTTTCCGAAAGTCACAAGACCTACAAATGGAAAGAGTGCCTTTGTGCAACATTTGGCCTATACTCCAACAACTTGCGTTGATTAGAACAAAATTTAATTTGCAATAATCAGCTGGTGTCAGGGAGAGCATGAAATTATGTTGGTGTACTGGATTTGTACTCCGTAGCACAGTTCCTCATAAATCAGTTATCTTTTTAATTTATCTTCAGGTTACAGTACATATAGCACAACAGCCCCTTTTTGTTAAAAATCACTCTGTAGGGAAGAGAGGCAGTTAGTTGTTAACCAAGCAGCACTGTCTCCCTCCTGGCCACTCGCTCAAGGAGAAGGCATAACTCAAGGTGTTTTATTTCTTCGGGTCAAGTGGTATGCCATGGATTTGGGAAGACAAATGGCACATTGCAGCAAACCCTCCATCCAGTGCAAGATAAATAGTGGTCTCTGCTGGTGAAGTCTGATGCTTCGCCTGATTTGCTCAAATGCTAGTTTCTATGGGACTCAAAAAGAAAAAGATATTTAGTCCAAGAAATATATCTTAGGCTTTCTGTTCACCCACAGCCACCACAGTGACCAGCAGGTGGCGGTTTAAAGAATTCTCATGTTATACGTGAACACTCATGGAAGAATTATGGAGTGACATTCAATGATATGTCTTTGATTGAGTGTCTTAAGTGGAATTTGGAGCTGATAATAGCATAGAAATGAAGACTGGCACCAGAGATGAATCCACCTCGGCATTGTCACTGACTATGGACTCTTAGGCAATCTGTTATTCCTTGGGCCTCAGTTTCCCTATGTGTCATGCAAAGAGTTGTGACCAGGGTCACCCCTAACTTTAGAACTGAGTCTGTAGAAGGGAATTCAAGTGGCTGAGAAGATGGGCCAGAGGCTTCTGGGACAGAGGAGGGGACACGGCTGAAGTTGATGCCTTGGTGACTCACAACACAAAGCATGAGCAGGTCTCATAATGCCATCATCATCCAGTGTCTAGGCTACAAACCCAGTATGGTGATCACCATAGACACACCCCTGGAAAAAGAACTCTCCACTGGGACTTAATAGTGAAGAGAAGCAAATGAGAAAATATTATGAATATATGGGCTGACTTTTACATATACATCTTTGGTGGGTTATTTTTGAAGCCAAGAAAATAGCTGTAAAGAGAATAATTACTTGTAATTTATCTGTTTCATAAGCTTAGAGCTATATGAATTATGTTTTCTCAGTGTGAGAGCTGTAGTTCCCCATATAGGGTGGTAGGTGTATTGTTACCTTTTATCAGGCACCACAATGAAAGTTAATTTTCCATCCTGGTTTCCTCATTACAGTATAAAAATGCTGTAGTTTTTTATTTGTAAACACAATGAGAAACATTTTCAAAAGGCATATTTTCCATTATTATAATGTTTTCCTTATAACAAGCATGTACCAAAGAATGCAAAGTAGACATATCTTGAATCAGCCCCAGGCTTTTCCAGGATATTTTAATGACTCCATTTAAAATGTAGGCCTCAAAGACTGGATTAGTGAGGTTGAAAAGCTGTGCTTTGGAAAACAGTTACTTGTAGAGCAGCTAGCTTGTTTCTTTCCCTATATAACACAGAAAACAATCTCTAGTTCCCCAGAGCATTCCACTGCCTCACTCCCAACTCTTGCTGCCCACCTCAGGACGTACCTCCACATAGCACCTTTCTTCTCACAGTGAGGTTAACCTGCCCATTGCGGGCTGCATGGTGCATAAGGTCAATGACATAGCGGTGGGTCTTGCCAGCCACTGGGATCCCATCCACGTAGACAAGCTCATCTCCTGGGTGTAGACGGCCATCTCTGTCGGCTGAGCCCATGGCAATGACGGCTCCAATCAAAATCTAGAGAATCGAGGAGAGAACATTCACATGTGTATAGTGGGCATGCAGATTGTGAGAGCAGGATGTCTTTCCAGGCATCTTTCCCGTTGTCTACTACTTAGAGACAAATGAGTACCTTGGACTTACTGCTCATTTCCATAAAGTGTCCCATGGGGGCCACTTGCTGACTGCCTCATAAGCTGTCAGCCTTAAGGGGAATTGCAACTCAAAATACGCTGATACCAGTTGGCTACCATGTTAGACCTCTGCACTGGAATACTGTGGAGACTGGGACTGACTCCTGTTCTTAACGGTGTAGCCTTCAATATGGTTTCCTAAGTTTTGCAAGCCACACATTCTTCACTTACAAAATGACATGATGATAAGACCAGTTCATAGGATTGCTGGGAGAGGCCAATGAGAAAATGTCTGTAGAACATTTAACTTTTGCATGACATTATATGTGCGTAAATGTCAGGGGGATACCACTTGTTGGTCACCATTAAACTCTGACAGAGGTTAAAAAGATTATTTTTCTTTGTTTGTTTACTTTTAGACACTGGAGGTGTAAAGCAGAAAGAATATTTTTCTTGGTTGATTTTTTTCTTGGTTAGTTGGCTTACTTAAATACTCCCAGTGAAACCTCCTCCAGTCTCCTTTCATCCACTGGCCGTTTCCTCAAAACACTGTTTTCCTCTACACAAAAGAATATTTCCAGCTCCATGTCCCCTCCAGGGTATCTGTGGTAGATACAGTACCACTGTGCCAGGGAGAGAGGAAGTGTGTATTCTGGAACCCAAGGAATTATTATAATACCCCTAACTAGGACAATGATGAAAATCAGTATACATGACTTCCGAGAACCCGATGGCATCTTTTGATTTAGCGTCTCAGAAGAAAGAAAATGGTACTCAGTATTTTAGTTTTGCTGTTTAACCTAGAAAAAAATCTCTCCAAGTCATGCACAGCAGGTCTCATTTTCCTTTGTCAGTGGCTGAGCTGCATGGCTCCTGAAGGCTGTGGTTTCATCAACCCAGCAATATTACAGAGGCCTCACTCCAGGTTTTCAATCGTTGGCATAATAATTTCTTTCAAGTCTCAGATTTGCGGATGCCAGCTAGCATGCCGAACAGCCCCACCTGGCCTTCGTGCCTTCAGGCTTGGTACCAGCAGATGCTCTGGAGCTTAGTCCTATTTCTCTTGTCTGTCAATACGGCAACTGGCTCTGAATGTACAGACCTTTTAGGCACAGGCAACATTGCAGTTTGAAGGATTTTGCAGCTTTACATGTGCATAGAGGAAGGACTGTTTCCTACAGTACTGCTGCGGCCTTCTATTCCTGGAGGGGTTGGGGTGAGAAATAGCACTGCTTCCATGATGAATTGCTTCTATTTCTGCTGTCACCAGGAAGGCTTTGTGTCTTCTGCCTTGGATTACTGGCACAGTCTTGCTCTTTTTCTTCGACTTGCTGTACCTACTTGCCATAGTCTACAAGTTGGGCATACTTCTGACAATCTATTTTCTCTTATTGTCATGCCAACCTGAATGTTTGAGATTCTTTCTAAAGGCATTCCAGACTGCTCTTCAAAAGTCTCAGCCTACTATGGAGTGCTTCAAAGGTTTTCCAAGTGCTTTGTGTAAAAGCCAGTTAAAGTAAGTGTTTATTCTCCACTGCCCCCTGGAAGTTGCAGAAGAAAAATGCTTCAACCTTTAAATTTCTTGTATGAGGAAGTAGCAAAGTTTATAACTAGTTATAATGAAAATGGTTTATGAACTTTTTGACTGGCTAATTACCAACTGTAAGGCATAATTCTGCTTCCAACCCTTGAAAATTTATAGCTACAAGAGCCTATAAGTTACAACAGGGTCTGATACAAATATAGGAGAGGCAAGTTACACACTGGAAAATTCCTGTTCCTCTCTTGCTGTGGGAAAATGCAAAGGATGTACACATACTATTGAAGCCACATTCTCTGTCACTAGTTTGATGTCACTCATTAAAGGAAAATCCCTATAAAACACTGCTTTCTTGTCATACTGCCTTGATAACAGTGTTCTCTTCATTTATTCATTTCAACAAAGATTCACTGGTGAGTACAGGGATACCCTATAAATGTCAGGAATCCACAATGAAAATAGTAATAATCCTCAACTTATAAAGCCATCATTGTAGTGCATAAGAAATGTAAAAAAATGCAACATAAATAGTATGTTAGAAGACATGTACAAAGTGAAAAACAGCAGGTGTGTGGGGGTGCCAACCATGTGCTGAAGGCAATGTTAGGATTGGTTAGAGTTGGTTAGGCATCATTGAAAAGCCGACACTTTGAAGTATAAAATGGCAATGAAGTGCACTGAACACATTTGCCCTCATTTTTTGTTAATTCTTTGAGGATTTCATACCATATATTTTTACTGTATTCATTCTTACCCCTAAACCCTTCCAGGGCCACCCTCTATTCCTTCCCTACCAAACTTTTGTTCTTTCTTTTTAAACCCATCAAGAACAGTTGGTGCTACCCACATCCTCTTGGATATGTGCTTTCACTGGAGTGTGGTCAGTCCTTAAGAGGCTGCACCCTGTGTAGGGAGACACTGTAATTTTTAATAGGTAAATGGCAACCAACAGGAAGCCAGAGTGTGCCAAAGCAGCAAGGGAAAGAGAGCTACCATGTGCCTTGTCTGTCCCTTTAAACCTCTCACAGGTCACCCTCACATCACCGTGACCACACCCTGATGGGTGTAGTCGGGCACATCTGTAGCCAGCCCTTAGGAGGCATGGTTACTGTGTCTCCCTCTAGGAAACCGACTCCCATTTCCCATTTTCTCTCAATCTCCCATAAGCTCTGAGTGACCCATTGTTTCTGTCTCCCTTCCTCCAGGCTGAGGTTGTGTCTGGTTTGAGCTTGCACAGCCTTTGTGCATGCTATCATTCATAATCATCATGAGTTCATGTGGACACTGCTGTGTCTGGAAAACAGTTTCCTTGTAGCCATCTATTTCCTCTGGCTCTTACAATCTTCCCACCACCCTTTCTGTAATGACGGCTCAGTTTTGCGAAGAGGGGGGTTATATAGATTTCCCATTAAAGCTGAGTGTTCCACAGTCTCATCTTCTCCATACTTTGACCAGTCAAGGGTCTCTGTGTTAATTGCCATCTACAAAAAAACCAAAACAAAAAAAATGACATAGCTTTTCTGATGAGAGTTGAGAGTTGCATTAGTCTGGTGTATAATGATAAGACATTAGGAATCAGTTTAATCTTATGTCTGTTTAATGACATGACATCTGTAGGTTCTCCCGTAGGTCTAAGGACCTGTCTAGACTCAGGTTCTTAGTGGCTCTAACAATGGTGACAGATATGGTTTTCAACTTGTGGGGCTAGCCTTGCATACAAGCAGAAGGTGGTTGGTTACTCCCTTGACTTTTGTGCCATTATTGCTGCAGTGGGCATGTCTTACGAGGGCGATTGTTGCAGCTCACATTATTCACAGGTAGGTAAAACTGGTGATTACTTTTTTCTTTGGTAGCTCATGTAGATCACCAAAACTATGAAAACTAGGCAGTAGGGATGAGACTTCTGGGTGAGTACCAGCTTGATTTCTGTTTGAACACATTTAAACAGTTCCAATTTTAAAGTTACACATGTTTTAAAGTTCCAATCTTTCAATTTTTTTACTTTGTTCTTTCAAATCTTGAATACTTGTTTTTATATAGACTATTCAATTAACACTTTAAATAAATTCAACATGGAATTATTTGCTAAGTGGTGCAATATAATTATTTCTATATGAAATTATATTGGAGAATATATACTCTACTTTGTTTTTTTTTTAAAGGGTTGCTGTAGCTATTGACCTGAGTTGTGTATTATGCATTGGGTGGGCATCTGGACCTGGCCTGTGCCTGGAATGCTGGATAGCATTGGAGGTGTTTGTCCATTAAAACATGTTTGCTCCATCCATCAGGAACAGAGGCTGAACACTCAGGCTGCCATTGCTTCCAGTGTTCTTGTTAGCCTTGTTCCTCAGCCTGGCAGTTTCATACCTTTGTGTGTGTTATATTTCATTGATGATACAGAGTTATCTCTATGTGTCTCTCTATTCAGGAAAAAATAAAACCTTACTTTTAAAAAGCTTCAAATGTGATTTACATACATACTTGGTACATTCTACTATTTCCCATTCTCTGTATTAACTGTAGGGACTGGGTAACCTGTGACTCCCTCTTGTGCACTGTAACTCTTGTTGGCTTCCCAGTGTGTGTTATAGACTGCTGTAAGCTCATAAGACCACATCTCAGGGTACCTGAGCCATTCAGACAGTTGTTCACCAACTTTAGGGTGTGTAAGTGTCACCTGTGAGCTTTCAAACTCTTCTAGATCTTCCACCCTTGCCTTGGGGTTCTACAGGCCAGAAGATGAGGTATGAATGAGGTTATCTGTTTTGGGCTACGGTCTCAGTATGTAGCCCTGACTGGTGTGAAATTCTCCATGTAGATCAAACTGTATGCAAACTCACAGAGATATGGCTGTCACTGCCTTCTGATATAAAGGTGTGGCAAGCACATCTATCCTGAGTATGAGATTTTGCATGGTTAGCAAGCTCCTGAGCTAGACTGAGCATTTCCATTTGGTTCAATGGCCACAGGACCTATAGTTTTACTGGTCACGTCCCAAACTGTCCCTGCATTGGTCACTCTCCAGGCATATTGAAACTTGGTCTAGGTTCCCTTATGTATCAAATTTCATCTTCCTTCTGATCTCGTTGACCACTAGCCATACTGGCCAGCAAGCCAGGCCAGCCAGTGGAGCCTTGCCCCAGTCACTATTCCTCCGTCCTTAACTGATTCCTCAGCCCCAGACTCTCTTCTCCACGCTCTCAGAGGAACATTCTGACACATTTCTATTATTCTGGCCTGGAAGGAAAAACTTAGTGGGAAAACAGAAAATCACATCTGCAAAACAGTCCATGCCCTGGGTCTTTTCAGTTATGTGGGGGTGTGGCATGGGAGGAGCTGAA